CCCTGCCCTGCCCTGCCCTGCCCTGCCCTCCCCTCCCCTCCCCTCTCCTCTCCTCTCCTCTTCTCAGTAACCTCAGGGGAGTGACTAGTTAATCTGTCATTTCCATCTTTCGGGATTCTTGCTCTTTGTAGTTCCGTTCTATGCTGGATGGCTCACCCCGGTGCATTTTAGATTTTCACCTCACGGCAGCCTCTTGGTTCTTTGGTTTCCCCCTCTCTATTGCTCTATTCGCTAGCTTTCCTTGTGTCAGTTCTCTTTTCCTGGGGGAGCATGGGACCCGAATCTGCAAGGCACAAGGGAGCCACACTTTCAGGGGAGACCTTGAAGGTCTGTCATTATGTGTAGATGCCTGCTTGTTTGCTCTCTCAATCTCTTAATCTCACCTTCTCCCTCTCCCTCTCTTCTCTCTACTACTCTTCTCTCTTCTACTAGGCATTGCACTGTGAGCATCTCACACACAGCCATGCACTCTACCACTGAGCTATGTGGTATGCCACCAGCCCCTTATTATTTTGAGATTATCACCGCCCTTACCCTCTACCCCGAACTCAATCTTTCCAGCGATCTCTTGTGAATAACTTCAAGGCAACACTAATTTGCAGCACACTTTTACCTCCCATCAAAATTTTCAGAAATGCTGCTGCACATTTTTGCAATGCACTGAACAGCTTGGCATTATTTGCTTTAAAAATGTCTAGTAACAGTAACGTTCATCATACTTCTGGTTGTGCATTCAACAACTTGTTTAATTTCTCCTTTTCCCTCTCTTCCTCTCTCCCTCTCCCTCCTCCTCCTCCTCTTCCTCCTTCTCCTCCTCTTCCCCCCTCCCCCCATGTTGATTGGCAGGTGCTTCAGCTGCTGAGCTACATCCCTGGCAAATGTATACTGTTGTGTTGTTTTTAGGGGGCGGGAATAGGTGCAAGGAATTAAATTCAGGATCTTGCAGCAAACACTGCCACTGAGCTATATCCCAGGCTGTTTCCCTTTCCTGAAATGGGCCAGGAACAAAAAACTTTTTCTTTCTTTAGTTCTTTCCGGAACCCGGGATTGAACTCAGGTATTGAACTCAGGTCTTGTGCTTGCCAGGTAAGCGCTTATTCTACTGAGCCATCTGCCTGGCCCCTAAAAACTGAGTATTAATAGTTACTGAATTTGGATGTAGGTATATGAGGAATTGAAATAATTTGTTGTCCTTTCAGGTGAGGAGTAGGTTCTGGTCTGTCCAGAAGGAGCATTGTTTTCTTTTTATATTCTGATGGCATTCAGATTTCCAGGATTAGGTTTTTGCCACACACATTAAAAAAAAAAAGAAAAAACAAAAAGCAAAAACCCCAAAACACCATTGTGCATTGTGTTTCTGAATATATATATATATATTTTTTTTTTAAAGGTAATTCTTCTTCCTCCTTTTCTTGTTTCCCCAGGATGACAGTGATGGGATTCCATGGTCAGAAGAAAGGGTGGTACGTAAAGTCCTTTATTTGTCTCTGAAGGAATTCAAGAATGCCCAGAAGCGGCAGCATGGGGACAGCATTGCTGGGAGCCTGAAAACTGTGAATGGTGAGTAAGTTGACTCTTGTTGTCCTTGGATATCTCCTCTTCCAGTGGTCTTGTTTCTGATCTCGATGTGTTCTGGCTGTGTGTGCTTCTTAAACTGTGGACCTACGGGCACTTGATGGTCTGTGGATATATATTGTGGACAGCCTATTGGACATATAGATTTATTTTTAGTTTCTTTATGCCCTGAAAAGATACTGGACAGATAGGTGCCTATTGTGTTTCTTAGGTCATGTGTTGGATGTGGAACTTTCGCACAGCATTTTGTGTGTATCTTTCTCTCCACCTAAGTGTGCACACGGGAGGAATCTTTGGGTGATTTTGCTGGATTGTGGACCCCGATTCTCCACAGCTGGGGCTCCTGCCCTTCCTGCTGCCCAGCTTTCTTGTTGCTCAGCCTGCTGTGGTTCTTGTCAGGGTAGCAGTGGTGCCTCTGGAGATGTCCCGTTTTGTAGAATAAAAATCTCTCTCTCTCTCTCTCTCTCTCTCTCTCTCTCTCTCTCTCTCTCTCT